CTCAGCCAAGTTTGCTAAATCTTAATTCAACCAAAACAAGCTCTAACCCAAAGAAAAATGTCAAATCGTCAATGCCAATTTGACAATTGTATGAGCTAAATCTAGTTCTAGTAAAATTAAGATTTAGCAAATTTCCTGCAAGTGGATCTTACTCTGTTATGTCGCAAAAAAATATGACAGCATTTTGGATGAAAGTCCCTCCGTTAAAAAATGTTAATGATATAGCGGGTTATTTATTTATTTTGGTTACATGGAAGACCAACAGCTTCTCTTAATATACTAGAAATGAATAGTAGCGACAAAGAGCCAATTACAGGTGCTCACATCTAGATTTATTATAAAGAGATAAAGATTGTAGGGGGTAATATTTGGATCTACTCATTACAATTTATCTCAGAAGCGGCTGAAAAACCTAAAGCATGCAAATACCGGGGTCTAGGCTCAGAATATGATTATGTCCCATTCGGTGTCGAGACCCTTGGTCCGTGGAGTCCTAGCGCTGTAAAGCTTTTTAGGGAAATAGCAAAAAGGTTATTAGACATCACAGGAGACCGAAGAGCTGGCAGCTACTTCAGACAAAGAATTTAGTCTAGCTATCCAAAGGGGGAAGGAACGCTGCCAGTATCTTCGGAACCTTGCCTAAAGGGACTCCTTTTAATAAGTATATGTTAGTTATTATATTATATTTTTGAAGGCTTTGAGTTTTAGGTTCATTGTTCTCGTATATTTTATATATTGTAGTATAAACTTCGTAAAGTAATAATTTATCTCATAAGTGAAGCTTAAACGGCGAAATATAGAAATTGTTACAAATTAATCGGTATCGTAACTATACGATAAGTATGGTGGAATTTATTTATTTTATCCAATGACTTTTATCATGCAAATATGAAGGCCGCGTTGTTTGAAACATGGTTAAGTTTGACTTTAGTTAATGTCGCGTCAAATACAAAGTAAATGTGGCAAATTTATTCGACAAAAAGTTTCTTTTCTATTTTAACTTTTGTCAAATTTATCTGTTTCAAACATACTCATCTAACCTAAGTTCATCCGGTTGACATTTTCACGCGCGGATCCGGTGTGAATCCGCGCGGATTTATATAGGAACCGCGCAGCACAGAAGTGCGAGTTGCGCCTCGATATAACTTTACTATTACGGTTTTGTTAACGTCGAAATTAGTGTGGAAAAATGTATAGCGCTATCTAGTTGTGTGTAAATGAAATTATTTTGTTCATAAAATAAAAAATCAAGGTGCAAATCGTAGGTACTCTAGCTTCTGATAACCAATGATTAGATGGTGCATGCTTTTAAAATGAATTCAAATTATTACTTATTTATTTCTTTAACAAGCTATATTGACCAATACATTAAAATGATACAAGAGTTGGACTTGATGCTATTAGCATTCTCAACCAGTCAACCTTTGTAAAAACTTAAAACACGAACGGTGGCATACTTATATGTGTATTCAGGATTGACTTTATTTTTGCAATTAATTTAATCGATATATTCAACTAACACACAAAGAAGCATTCTAAATATTGTATGTATTAGTTTCATTAAAACCAATTGAAAGCTTTCTGTAACATTGTTATTCTTGGCTGATACTAAGATGCCCTAGCGCCATTTTACTTAGATTTAGATGCACTGTAAGATGAAAGAGTAATATCAGAAATTCATAATTAGTTTTATAGGCTGAGCGAGTAGTATTTTTCTACGTGGTATTGTAAAATAACGCAATGACTAAACCTTATGAAATGCTTAGCTAATACAATCCCTATTGTATGAGCGAAATATTATACACAAATCTCACTTTTAAGAAGTGAAACTTCTATTTTACCCTTTGATACACACCAAAGTGTAACAAAGTGTAAAAGTGTTACAAAGTTAGGATAAAATTCGTAAATAAAAATATTTAATATTATGTAAGAATATCCTTCGTCGATGCTTTTTAACATTTAAACCGCCTACCAAATTTTTCTTAGCAATAACTTGTATACTCGGTACCAACGGCATTGCTGTTTTTCTTTAAAGGCGTTTTCTAAAGTACATTTAAATCTTAACGCATTTCGTATGGATAAATTTCGTAAAAAGAATTATCTTTCATTCGAAAAAGCGCTATCCTTCCTTCGCCAAGCTTTTTTATATCTAGGTCGCCTACCATTTTTTTCATAGCAATAACTTCTATACTTAGCAACGTCGGCATTGCTATATTTCTTCATATTTTTTTTATTGCTATATATATTTGGAAAGGCGTTCTCTTACGTACATTTAAATCATGAATCGCCTAGTTCACGCTTAAAGATCTTCTTCAAAATCATGAAGAAAACTGATGAATGGAATACAAATTGAAAATAATTTCCGAATATATTGATGGCTCAATAATGCCATTAATTACTGTAGAAACTAGTCTCACCGTATACTTGATATTAATCATTGAACTAGCCATTAATTGTTTCATTCAATATAATTCGCTTTCGTGTTTATTTACTAATCAAATTACTGATAAATAATTTGATCAAATAAGGCATTGATAACATTTCTGATAATTTTTTGTGGATAAGAACACAATAAGAAATTATCTAAAGTCGTTATGCGATGAAACTGCCATCTATCTATTAAGGGAAGAACTATAAACTCAATTACAAAACACTCCCTAGCTATCTTTTAACTAGATGGAGCTGTAGAAGCGTCGCAAGCGCACCAGGAACGAAAGTGTTTGCGTTAACACATAGATGGCGCCACCACTGCATAGTACTCAATTTGTTTTAGTGACGATAGATGTCGTTATTGTACCTAGGTCATTATTTTTATTAATAATATCTTTTATGTAAATTCCATCTATCAGTAATAATTATTATACTTATCTCCTTATTGTAAACGTTTATTAATTTATCTCTTTCAGTATTATTAAGAGTTGGTATTTTTACTTTGGTAGGAGGTTTATAAGATATGGGCGTGTATCTCTGGGCACGCCTTGAGTGCGTCGGCTAAACTTCTAAGAAAGTGGGAGGGGTAAGACGTAGGCGGCACTGGGCTGTGATTGGTCCGAACTCGTAGGTTAGAAGCTTAGGAGTTGCGCTGAGTGCGCATAAAATAAATGTTAACTTCAGCAGATATAATTGTGAAACAAATTAAAGTAGTTAGAAGAATTTGATATTCCTGTGTCAAGATACATTTTGGCGTAAAATTCGTATTTTTTTCTATCCTACTTATTTACTTAATTTTTAACTTACTTACTTAACTTTAAAATAAAAGTAACGTTATGTTAGGTTTAAACCAAATATTGAAAAAGTTTTTCTTGCTAGTAGTAAAAATGAGCTTTACTGTTTTAATCGAAATTTTTGGGGTTTGCATGAAACCATCTAAACGGTAGGCACTAGGTAATTTTTCATTGTTGGGAAGGTCATAGAAGAGATGGCGCAAGTGGTTAGCGCGTTCGGCTGCGATCGTTGAAGTTAAGCAGTGGTCGGTCATCGGATGGGTGACCAAAAATTTTGGTACTCGAGCTCTCCTCCGTGCTTCGGAAGGCACGTTAAGCCGTTGGTCCCGGCTGCATCTGCAGTCGTTAGCACCCACCAATCCGCACTGGGCCCGCGTGGTGTGTCACGGCCCAATCTCCCTATTCCATCCATAGGGAAGGCCTGTGCCCCAACAGTGGGGACATTAATAGGCTGATGATGATTATGGGCAGATCTTATTTTGATAGTAAAGGATATTATAGTAACTACATAATACTAAGTTTCTCGCACATGCGCTTTCAGTGAGGGGCGGGTCGAGTACAAGACTTTCCTAAGAAAGGGGGCGTGGCTTAAGTTGTAACTTAGCGCTAGTATCGATTCTGACAACGCTCGTATATTACCGATACTTATGTTTTTATTTTTTTAAGCATTTAACTTTGAAATGTTTAAATCTAAAGAAAAGATTTAAGTACTAGAAAAAAAAATCAACACGGGCCAGGCAGCGGACGGGACTCGAACCCGCACCCTTCGCAATCCGAGCGAATGCACTGACGAATTATGCTACCGCGGCCCTGATGGCCGCGTCGAAATTTTCCTAGCCTTAAGCTGCAAGGCAGCGCCATCTCTTCGCATTGTAGGTAACCCACAATGTCCGATACTTACTGTTACCGATACTTGTTATATAGATACCTATATATTTTTATTTTAAGCGTTGTGGGTTACCTACAATGCGAAGAAATGGCGCTGCCTTGGAGCTTAAGAATGGCTGGAGAAAATTGGATACGGCCAGCAGGGCCGCGGTAGTATAATGGTCAGTGCCTTCGCTCGAATAGTGAAGGGTGCGCGTTCGAGTCCCGTCTGCTGCCTGCAGTGCTGTTCTGTGAAATTTTCACACATCGGATCCGCGCGTGAAAATTTAACGGAATAGCACTGCAGGTCCGCGTGGAATTTTTTCTAGTAAAATTTTCTTTACATTTGCGGATATTCTCCTAATTAAGGTTTCCGGTATCTTTATTTCCATCTAAGCATCCATCTTTATTTAGTAGCAAATTAATCAATAGATCTCAAGATATATTAGTTTTCATGTAAACTGTTACAACAAGCCCCTCGCTCCCCTAATACCTTTGGATAAAATCTAAGAAAACTTCAAAATATAATAATACTAGAAAACCAGTGAACCAAATGTTCACCAAAAAAAAAATGTATTTAATTAATTGAGAACTTCGGAGATTTTCTGTGGTTTCGTTTGAAATAGAAATCACGTGATTTCTCGAAAACCGGAAGTGCTACGTTACTCACATCCGGTTTGTAGTCTTATCAGACTATTCTCAACTTATAACTTAAACATTCTCTTTATCTATCTCTTACGGTTTGGCCGCTGAAACAGCACCACGGACGGACGGACGGACTTGTCTATTAGATAAGAGATAGTAATTAAGTAAAAATTTTAAGAGTACCTAGTATACGTAGTACTAAAATTTATTTGTATTTTTTTTTCAGACTTCCCTTCAAAGACAGCGGAGGGACCTTCAACCAGTGACGTCATCAACACCTATAGGTTTATTTAGGTGAGTAATTGCACCTTCACTTTTCAAATATAAAAAGAATCAAATTAGATAGGTGAAAGACAGAAAGAAAGAAAATCATTTTATTTGCCATCACAGCATTAATTTAGAAATACATAATGGTTATATGACGACCTCCGTGGCCGAATGGTTTGTACGCCGGGTTTCATGGCTGTCGCCAACTCGAGAGGTCCCGGGTTCGAATCCCGGTGGGGGCAGATGTTTGTGTGATGAATACGAGCATTTGTACTCCAGTCATGGATGTTTAATATGTATTTATATAAATATACTTATATATGTAGGTACAGTATATGTATTCTATCCGTTACCCTAGCATCCCATAACACAAGCCTTATAGTGCTTACTTTGGGGCTAGGCTAATTGGTGTGAATGTCGGAAATATTTATTTATTTATTTATTTATATAATAGTAAAACGTAGACATAATAAAAAAAATCATGGGAACTAATTATATAAAACTAGTTTTAACGGATTAATGCACGAACTTTATTTATTTATGACGTTTCGCAGCCTTTTCAGGTCTGCATCGTCAGAATAATGATGTTTTTTTTTGACTTGGAAAAAAATATCTGACGATGCAGACCTGAAAAGGCTGCGAAACGTCATAAATAAATAAAGTTCGTGCATTAATCCGTTAAAACTAGTTTTATATTAATATTAGTCAGTTATTTCTGAGACAATAATTGAGATTGCAATTTACCAAATTATGTTCCCTGGTTCCCCTATACTTAACTATTCGCCACTTATATAGCTATCTTAAGTTTCCAGCCGCGCGATTTTGCTCGGCTTAATGGAGAGCCTGATGGACCTCTCAGAGCCTAGTCTTTTAACGTTTGTGCCTTTAAAAGTGTCTTTTACCTTGCCTGGGTTTTAATTTTGCGATAATGAACGACGTTAGGGATTTCAAAAGTAGAGATGGCACGGAAAATATGTGTTTCTTAACTGTAGTTTTAATATCTAGTACCTAGGTTATAATTAACTAGCAAACCAGTGAATCAAATGTTCACCGAAACCTGATTTAGAAAAAAAAATGTATTTAATTAATTGAGAACTTCGGAGATTTTGTGTGGTTTCGTTTGAAATTCGTGATTTCTCGAAAACCGGAAGTGCTACGTTACTCAAATCCGGTTTGTAGTCTTATCAGACTATTCTTAACTTATAACTTAAATATTCTCTTTATCTATCTCTTACGGTTTGGCCGCTGAAACAGCATCACAGACAGACGGACGAACTTGTCTAATAGATAAGAGATTGTCACATCAGAGTGTACTGTTATCTATAATACCTTTGGATATTTTATATAATATACTAGCTGTCCCAGCGAACTTCGTACCGCCATAAAAAAATAGGGGTTGGTGGTAGAAGGGGAAAATTTAGGGTTGTATTTATTTTTGTATGATATATCATAAAAAAATTAAAAAATAAAAAATTAACTAAAATTTAAAAAAAAATTAGGGGTGGATTACCCTTAACATTTAGGGGGATGAAAAATAGATGTTGTCCGATTCTCAGACCTACTGAATATGCATATAAAATTTCACGAAAATCGGTCGAGCCGTTTCGGAGGAGTTTAATCACAAACACCGCGACACGAGAATTTTGTATACAAGATTTTTTGAATTCTTTCACCAAGAATTTTTTTTCACCTACTTACTAGGTAACTACCAGGTAACTAATGGATACCTACCTATCTAACTTAACTAAGTTAGATAGGTAGGTATCCATTAGTTAGTTAGGAAATTTTAATGATGATGATGGCGTAGATAATATATATATATATATATATATATACATGTGTGTCATCATAATCATCGAGGCCACAGGTGGTTAGCGCGTTCGGCCTACGATTGTTGCAATGAAGCAACTTTCTCAATGCTCGGTCATCAGATGGGTGACCACAAACTTATTATCTCGAGCTCCACCGTGCACCTTTTAACGTTTGTGCTTTTAAAAGTGTCTTTTACCTTGCCTGGGTTTTATTTTGCGATAATGAATGACGTTAGGGATTTCAAAAGTAGAGATGGCACGGAAAGTATGCGTTTCTTAACTGAACTTTTAATCTATACATATAATAAAATGGTAGGAAAGTCAAAACTGTACATTGAACATTTTTTTTAAAAGAATACTTGGGGTGTGATCTACAATCGATTCCGAAGCCAAAAATATAGTTTAAGAATTTTTGTTTTTTTTTGTCTGTATGTATGTCCGGAATAAACTCAAAAAGAACTGCGTGGATTTACTTCAAATTTGGCACGAATATTATTAACAAGTCAGGTCAACATACAGGCTACATATTATCACGCTATCACCTACGGGGAACGAGCAACGAACCTTTATTTCTAACTAACTTTTTCACTTTGAACCAGTCTTGATATATATGCATTTTTCATATAGGCTGTATGAAGACTCAATTTCCTTATGAAATAATAGTTATTTATTATACAAGAGTGGAAAGTTCCTTTTTAACCGCGTGCTCGATTTGGATGACCGAGCAAGCGAAGGATTCTAAAGTTGAATCACGAGCGCAGCGAGTGATTCTAAATTAGAATCCTGAGCGTCAGCGAGGGAAACAAACGAGCACAAGGTGAAAAATCTTTCCACTCGAGTGCAATACGTAACTTTTCATCCCACCTCAGCGAGGAAATGACAAAATGAAAAAGAAAACAATTTATAATGACAAAATATTTAAGCAATAAAACGTGAAAAACTAGAATGGCGCGAAGCACGCAAATAAAACAAAGAAACCAAGAAGGTTCCAAATTTAAATTTTTTCACAATTTTAAAAGTTCTAATCATAAATTTGGCACCATAGAGGTTACATTAAATAGGTTTAATGACGTTTTGAATTTACAATTATATTGAGTACTCATTATATGTGATGTTCTAAATTCAAATCTACTTTGCCGCTCAAGCGAATAAAATAGAATTTTCCAGCCAGATTTCGAAGCGCAAAATTACACTTTCCGAGGTGGTGGGATGAAAAATACATTTTATTGCCATGAAACACTACCCATAATATAGGTAGAGCAAAAGGTTAGTGCAACATAAATACGATTGATCAGAAACTAAAGGCTGAATCGTAAGAAAACCCTTTATGCATATACGCCATAAAAATATAATTTCAACTAGCCAAACGCAGGACACAATAACCCACTAACTAAATTAAAATCCCCATACAGACTTGTTGCCAGCGCATGTAGAATCATTACTTAAACTCCATCTTTTAAATGCGCCGTAGCGAATGCACGCGACTCTTAAAAAAAAAGAAAAGCGGTTTAGAAAAAAAAGAAAACTCACGCATCGCGTCCCATTGTACGCAGACACGAAGGTGGATCTCATTAACGGAACGTTCGGAATTAAGAACGGCGATGAAGCGGGAATCTTAGCGATCATTACAGGAACGGAACGCGCCAGTCCTCTTTATGCGAGGGATGCTTCACTCCCGCTCTTTTCGGTTTTAGAATGTCGGATATTCGAAATTTCGTTCCTGTTTTCCAAATTTGGAAAAGTATGTTCTTTTTCTAACTTTTTCGACCTTTTTTCTCTATTTTTATTCCTTTTTATAACGCTAGTTTTTTAATTTTTACGCAGTAAAGCAGTTTCGATACGAATCAGATTAATATTATCAATTTCCGTAACAAGACTTAAAAGCTTGAAGCCAATCAATTTAGTTTTCTTCGTGCGACTGTCGCATTTAGGCATACAAAGTGTTTTAAGCATGGGAATATTTAAAGTTTTTCACCCAGTCATTATTAACGTTAGAGCTTCCTGTGAGGCTGAGATGGTTCTAATTACTTTTCCGTCACCGTAGTGTGGTTAATGTGCAAACTTAGAACACGCATGCCATTCGGGGGTGTCGACGCGTGAGGTGTTGGCACCCAAGCCTCCGTGCAAATGTCACTTACTGGTACTAAAAACACACGACAATGTAATTTGAAACAGATCGATCAGGGGAAAATTTACAATTTAACACGAGCCTAAAACTATAAAACCATAGGTATCAAAATGCATAAATATTTATGTGGGTTAAATTTTAAGCATTTAAAGGCTAGATTTATAAATCTTAAGAAATTATTTAAGTACTAGAAAAGATTTCACTTGGTCCAGGTTTCAGACGGGATTCGAACCTGCATCTTCCGCAATCTTTCCACCTAGACAGAGTGGAGTCTTTTCTAGTAAGTGTATATTTTCTTTAGACATTAATATGGGTTTTTCCAAAAATCGTATTTAAATAATACGATGTCAAGATGCAAGTATAAACGATTTATGTTAGGTGCGTCATTATTATTTTCATCGACACCTACTCATTTCTTAATATTGAAAGAGTATAAAACAGTAACGTTGAAATATGCTTGAGAAAATTCGCCCGTAAATTATGATCCTCATAGCTGCATTAGTGTAGAGATATATAATATGAATACAATATAAAAAAACATTGACACTCGCTTGTACCTACCAGAGTTCTTAATTCAAATTAAGACTTGGTCACCCACGATCACTTAATTCCGTAATATATACCAGTATACTGGCCAGTGCTAATGACATCATAAATCGACAATATACTGGTGAATTGTTCCGAAATATACAGGCCAGTGCACTGACGTGTCGAAATCGACGAAATATTAAAAATAGTGCGAATAAAGAAGATTATTTAAAAGGAATTCTTTTTGTTCGGATGCCATTATTGTTCTTTAAATAAAAAAGAAATAAAATTCGAATGTATCTCACGCACGCTCGGTTATACGTCATATTCATTTTTCCGGTAAAAATATGGTAGCATACCAGTACAATATGGCGTCAGATTCGTGACACCCCGTGTTAAGTTCATCATTCCATCTTTGTATTTTTTTTAAGTTAAATAGAGATTGCATGACTTTCAAACATGATTAGGTTTTAATTTGAATTAAGAACTTTGGTACAAGTTTACCTAAATATTTTTTAAGCGTTGCGTTACCGCTTTTAATTTTTGAACCGTATGTTTCC